TAAAGTAACTAGAAGATTATTATAATTAAAAAATAATCATTATCATGCTAATATAATCATAAATAAAAAAATTCTTCAATTTTACCTAAAGATAGTTCTGTCATTAATATGCTTCTATAGCTTTATCAAGATAATCAAATAATTGATGAAGATTTAAATGACTAAAAAAAATAGAAATGACATATTAATGTATTCCTTTATACTCTTATTTTTTAAAAATAATTATAAAGAAGATATCATTAATAATACACTTATATATATATAAGATAATAATTTTTACATGATATATCAGAAATTGATAATGCTTTTATCAATAAATTTCAAACTATAAAGTTCATTATAAGTACATTTTTAACTTTTTATCTAACTAATTATACTAATCTTTATTAAAATATATAAAAAACATCAAACTAGTAGAGAATTTCAAATAGATTTAATATAAAATACCTAGCATATATTATTAGTAGAAAATCTTAAATGATCTCACACTATAGTAAATATATAAAAGTAATATATATTAAATATGTAATATATGTATCATTTAATCTACTTTATAATACATGTATTAAATAGTTTATCTTTCATTATATATATTATATAGTTTCTTTTTATTACTTATATTATATTATTTAGTTTTTATTATATATATTATTTATAATTATCAAAAAGTATAATATAGTACTAGTTAGCAATTTTATATAATAGACCTGTAAGTTGATTTTGAGTTGATAGAATTTGATCAGATAATTTTCTGAATAAGTTTTAGGATTAGACTTATAACTCTACAGTTTAATAAAATTATTATTTTACACTTTTAACTTTCTTTTTATATTTATTATAGGATTGATCATTGATACTATGTGAAGTTAATCTTACTGTATCACAAAGATTGATAAATAATCAATGTTATTAATAATATTAGCATTTTAACTTAGTTAATATTTTTATTTTATTTATTTTATTCTTATATTTTATAATTATTATTTACTATATTATTATTATAGTTAAATTATAATTGAACTTTTATATTTATTTTAACATTATAAAATAGTTTAACATTAGATAATAATTTTATATAATTGTATTTTTATATAAATAGGATAGGAAATTGTTCTTGTAAAAAGGCAGAGATAACAGTGATAACTCAATAGTTCAAATTTAAGACTTAGAATCTAAGGTTAAAAATTGCTAAAAATACAAATCTTTATAATAAAAGAATCTCTTTATAAACTACATATATATTAAAATTCTTCAATATATTAATCGTATTTATTATTATTACAAAGTTGTTAAATTTATTTACTCGTCTAAATTATAAATCTAAAGTTAATTGTGATAAGACTTATTCTATAATACTTAGTAGTTTCTCATAAGTTACTTCCTGTTATTAAGTCATCGTAACCCTAAGTTTGACAAACTGAGTATAGGGTTAATATTGTGATAACTAACTATATAAGTAAATTATGATTATAAATTATTTTGTTTAATAATCATTTATTTCTCTTAAAAAAATCTTTAAGATAATTGAATTATTAAGATTATTAGTTTTGTTAGTTTTAAAATAATTTCAGATTTAACAATATGTTAGAGGTATTTTGCATTAAATTTTATAATGTATTAAAAGGTATTACAAGAGGGAAAATCTTAATGAAGAATAATAATATATAAAAAGGATAAGCAATGATGATAAATAACTACGGTATATGAAAAAAATTTTCAGAATAAAATTTCAGTATAGAAAACTTTTAATAATTTGCATAGTATTGCAATATAAAATTAGCAATAATATTTTATATAGTCATGTAGCTTATATTTTATATAAGAATGGTAGATTTAGAATTTTAAATATAAATTTATATATTATTCATATGAAAACTATAAATTTAATACTGAAAAATGATATCTAAGGTTGCTGAATTAGCCATCAAAAAGTCTAGATCTCAATCTAATTAAAAATTTATAAACAATTTTAAGAGATGTGTAGAAAAATAGGTTAATATATTTTTGGTAAAAAAAAATCAATCACTATAAATGTTTTTTTTTAATATAATTCAAAAAGAGTAGGAGGGAATTAAATTTGAAATATTATTAATTTAATTAGTAGTATATCAGAACAAGTATTAAGAGTAATGGTAATAAGATAAGCTATTAATTAAGCTTAAACAACTTTTTTTCTATAATAATAAAGAATATATATTAATTTTTATGCAATTTCTATTTATTTATAGAGTATAATAAATTAAGATATGATTCTGAAAACTTTTTTACATACTGTAGCAAACTGAATTATTAAATTTATACAATACTATAAATTATCAAATATGATAAAGCAAATAAACTATTTAGATTTATTATTATTTAATCTTTAATATAGCTAATTTTCACTGTCTAGAACTTATAAATTAATATCATATGTGATAGTTCTGATAATTTGATAAATTGGTATCAATAGAATATTATTAATAATCTATATATAGCTGTATAGTTCTTTAATAAATACTTTGAGATTTCCTTTAAAGAGTATTAGTAAAGTATATTATTTTTGAATAAAAATATTAATATTTATATATACAGAATTAAAAAGAGAAAGAATGTACTTATAATTGATTAAAACTAAATAAAGAAAATAGAGAACATTATAAAATACATTGATTTATTAATTATTATGATTAATTTAAAAATAAATATGATATATACTAAGATTGTTGAGTAAAACTTAAAAGTTTTATCAGATATTAAAATTAAAATATTTTGTTAAATATTTTTATTAAAGGTAAATTTGTGAAAATTTTAACTGTGATAAAAGTTTAATAGATGTCAAATCCTAGTAAAATCTTTGATATTAAAATACATAAAAATTTATTATTTTTGTTTAATAAAATAAGCAAATCATATATAGCAAAGATTTTTTTTTATAATATTATATATTTATATATTTATAAAAAATAAAAAAATAAAATAAAATAAAAAATTTACATATTAATCATCATATCTAATTATATACTTCATCTTTTATATTTTCTTTATTTTAAACCCATAATAGTATTTTATTTATTAATCTTTTATTTGAAAATTATCATTTATTAATGATTTATTTATTATGACTATGATAGTATCAATTTGTAAATTGGAAAATCTGATGAAAATTTATCTTTATAGAATTCTATAAAAAATAAATTAAATCTATTAAGATTGTAATATTTTCATATATATGTAATTTAATATAATTATATTAAATATATAATAATAAATAATTTATTATTAAGATTCAATTTCAATATTTGATTTAAATCTGAATTTTTAAAATTAAATAAATTTAGATATAAAATTAACTTGATTTTAACCTCTATTATCATCTTCTTTAAAAGGTAACTTTTTCTAATTTTTTAATAGTATCAATTATTTCTGAATTTAAACCTACTTGATAATTAATGTATTGTTTTAGAAACTTTGTTCCAATTTAAAATAAAAAGCAAAAAAAATTATTTTTATATTGTGATACAATAAACTAATTATACTGTTAAATTTGCAAAATTATTATTAAACTGTTGAAACTTTTGAAACTTATTAAAACTTACCTATCAAAATAACTTTTACCAAAATGGGTTTGCCTTACAACTATATTATATACAAAATGTTATTTATATCAAAAATCTAAGATGAAACAGTTAATGATTATAGGATTATATTGAATTAATTAATAAGTTACAACATCATACATAATGTACTTTTTTTAATAATAAGTCAATAAAAAGGCTAATAATCATGTAGATTTAGTTATTTAAGAATTACAATAATTGTACTTTCATATGCAAAGATAAATATGAATAGCTAGAACTTATGGCAAAAAAAAATCATTTTATTAATCTGCGTAATTGTAAGGCTAGATATGCAAACATAAACTTTCTAAGAATATATACAGTCTTAAAATATACTGTATATTAAAGTATGTAAATAAGAAGATTCTCATTCAATAGTTTTTTTTTAAGATTTTTAATAAAATTCTTAATAATAATAATCCAGATCCATCTTTTTTATTGATCCAGAAACTTCTCCTTAATAGCATTGCAAAATGAGATATTTCTATTCAAGTAATTTGCTATTTTCTTCTTAATATTCCTTTTTATTATTTAAATAATTCATTAGATTTGCTAAATCTTAGTAAAGAAGCATCAAAGTAGATTTATGAAACAGATAGCAGTGATAATAGAGCAATTGATGATATAGAACAGTAATATAATCTTCTTTAAAAAGATATTAGAATCATCCTGAAGAATTCGAAAATTTTTTACTATTTAAGCTAAAATTAACACATAATTTAACACATAAATTAGTCAATAGGTTTGGAAGAAATGCACAAAAAAAATTGTACTCATATAGCTATAACCCCCAGTTATTCATAATGGAATATACAGTGCACCCTCTATAAATGCACACTCTATGTAAATTCTCTTTAAATGCATAGTAGGCTTTTGTCCCAACTCATAAGAGCTCTTAATATTTTATTCTCTATAAATGCACACCCTCTCTAATTGCACATTCTGCTATTTTTTTATTATGGAACCAAGGGGAGTGCACTTATGGAGGTGTCACTGTAGTGGGAGGAGTTTAGGATATTTTTCACATTCCCATCAAAATATACAACAGCAAATAAAATATAATATGATACTATACCTTGGTCAACATTATATAGTCAACATACCAACGTGATCAACATAGATCCTAATGACTTTCTTTGACTCCCAGTAGATGACGAAGAGGATGAAATTACTAAAGATGAAGGTCAAGAGGAGCCATATGAGGATAATAAGCAGGAAGAATATTGGTATGCTTGCAGAGATGAGACTAAACATAAACATAGATCATTCAACTGATGCCCTAGGGTCTCAAGATATTGATCGTAATCACGATTTGATTAATATGTGAATAAAAGCACACCATAATAACTTATAGACAAACAAGTCAAAGAATTGAGAATGATTCGAGAGAAGCTTAGAATAATGGCTGGGAGAGCTAATCCTTCAGTAATTATACTAGGTCCTACAGGGGTGGTAGCATTTAACCTTAATGGTATGAAAATCCACTCAATGCTCTACAATAAATGATTAGATATAGTTGGTGAGCGTTATAAAGCAATTACAAGAAATATACACTAGGGAATAGGAACCGTTGTTAAGTCCGGATAAAAAATATATCGCAAAAGCCAATCAGCATCAACTCAATTATTGAGCGCGGACATCGGGATACTTTGCATAGAAATATAAGTCCTTCACTCTGTTCCGGACTAATTACATCATCATCAACGAGAAAAGCATGGTCAGTCGACAAATGCTTGGTTTAATCGATATAAGGTTACGTCAAGCCTTTCCTGAGAAAGCAAACGAAGCTTTTAGTGGCAGATCCATTATTTTGTTTTGTTGATTTGGACAGCTATCACCTATGTTCGACTTTCCAATGTACACCACTAACATTCCACGAGACACATTATCCAATAACGGCATTGCATCATATAAGCATTTTTTTGAGGCGCGCAAACTTGATGTTATTTAAAGGCAATCTGGTGATTCTGAAAAACAACAGGAATTATAGATATACTCTTAAGATAGCGCGATGGAGAAAGTCATATAAATGACTGAAAAACACTTACCAAATGATTTGAAGAAAATTTAAACAGAGTAGAGCGGAAACGATTTTCAGATGCAGTATTCATTGCAACAACGTGGATCGATAATGATAAAATCAATACAGAAATGCTTATGTCATTGAACTGTACATACTGGTAGTCGTGAGGTTAAAAGAGCCGATTCTGAGTACACAGGACACAATTCAGTAGACATAAAAGTCGTCCCTATCGTTCATATTAAAGAACCTGGGATGGTAAAGCTGGGACAAAATGGTCACGGTTACAGGTTCCTATATATCTCGCATGGGCAGTTACAGTATATAAGAGTCAGGGAATCATCATACCAAAGGTCATAATAGATATCGGAAGCAGAGAGTTCGCCGCAGGTCTTTCGTTCGTTGCGATGTCTCGAGTTCGTTCACTTAGCGATATTTACTTCAAACAGTTCACTTTCGAAAGGCTTCAACGTATCAAGGCCTGTCGAAGGTTACAAGTAAGGAAGATTGAAGAAGAGCGACTGCTTTCTTTGGCAAGAGAATGTGCGAAAAGGATTAAATAGTTTGTGAATAAAGTATTTGCGACGTCGAAAAAGAAAATAAGGCGTTTTCAATATTTTTAATAAAAGAGAGAGATGCGAAACATAAAATACAAAAAAAAAAAAAAAAAAAAAAAAAAAATTAACAATTTCACTTAATTTAAATCTTTAATCTCGATGTGCAACAACAGTAACCAAATACATCGTAACACAAGCTGCTCCTCAAAAGAAGAGCGGGCGGACATCCGGACATTTGTAATACCTTGCCTTGCTTAACGATCAGAACTAATAATAATTAGGTCTATCAAATAAATCAAGTGGATACCAAAACTAAAAGTCACGGGCTTCAAGGTGGACGACTTCAATTTGATAATCGAAGGTAATTAAGTACATACAGTTGTAACAATCCAGACCCACAGATAATTAAAATAAACAATTAAGGGAGAGGGGAAATTTTAATGTTTTAGAATGGCTTTGGTTATTCGTTTATAAAAAAAAAAAAAAAAAAAAAACTAAAAAAGCAAAGTTTAATAGTTTTCACATGTAAAAACGACTTTATTAAACATGCCATGCGAAGAACCATTAGTATACGTACTTTTCTTTACAAGGATATCAAAGTCAAGTAACTGTCGAGGTTATGTTGAAATCCTCGCAGATTGGTATTTGATGAAATTTCATTTAGGAAAAAACAAAGAACCAACATGTGTAAACGCTAACTTCTCGTCGATTCAATTAGTTATTCTCCGCAGGTCTTCATGCAAGTAGCGCTTGGTTAAGTACAAACATTCGATAATATGTATGATACTCGAAAAATCAAAATAAAATCTATATTTACTATGTTAACATGCTAAATTTTAAATGTTGTAATCTATTTGACTCGTTATTTAGGCTTTAATCTTATTTTAAAAAAAAATTTAGTTTGTGTAACAGAAAATTTCTCAAATAAGAAATACGCGTTATTCAACAAAAAAAAAAAATCTTTATCAATCTCATATCTCTAAGGTAAAGCGAATCAACCGGCTGCTTATAGATTTTGATAATTCAACCTTTTTTTAAACTTTAAATTATTTAACTATTTTATCTTTAATATATTTCATTATGTAGCTGGAATATTACAAAACATTGTTTTTAAGACACAACTCACCAAAAATGTATATAGCAACACTACGAACAATTCATGAAACAAAGAGGATCAAGCTGAAGAAACTTGAGGGAAGAGTTGCAACAATTGCGCCAGCTAGAGAACATAATATTTTTCTTATTAGGCATTTTTGAATACAACGTATGTTAAGAAAATATTTATTTTTTTTTTTCCTTTTTTTTTTCTTCATCACACATACGCGTTTCGACCTGAATTCAATTAATTTTGTTTTTAGAACTTATTTTCTAAATTTTTGAATAATCGTTACTGGTAAGTATTATAATGTTTTTTTGTTAATTTTTAAAGATCTAATAATAGTATTATAGTATAGATGCTTGTGCATGCAGTAAGTACTAAAAATGAGAAGAATACTGGAAAAAGTCCATATATTTATCAAATCAAAATTGAGTAGTTTTAATTCTTTCGTTTCAAAACTATCGATTGACACCACTTTAAATAATAATGTAATAAAGGATTCCCATTAAATTAAGCATGATAAACTATCAAAATAGTTCATATTACTGTAATTATTACCGTTATTAAAGATTACCAAAACAATAAATCAAAAATGAATAACTAAATTCGGTATATTAAAATAGTGCTATAATGTGCTTGCTTACATATTACCTCGTGCAAATACTACTTCTTGCAAAACATTATAAATATGAAAGAGGAAAATACCATACTCAAAGACAATAAAATTTTGATCCTCGTTACAATTCCTTTGTAAAGTTCGTTTTGATTTTTGTTTTTCATTAATCACTTTATAGATACTAAATTTCTGGAAAAGAAATTGGTACAATTACAGGTCAGGTGAGTAATTATTTCTTTAAATAGGGAAATAAAATATTATTTAATCAATTGCTAATAACCAGAATTTTTTCATCGCGATGACAAGCCCGATTATCCTATTCTTCCTAAAGAAATTCAGCACCCGAAGGAGAAGAATTTAAATTTGTACTCTACTCTTTGAGTGCACAAACATTCCGTTGCACAAATAACGGATGGGTTCTTACCAACGTGACTGGAACGATAAAAAGAAGAATTATATATTGATAAATTTAAGGTCGCCTTGCTCTATTATCTAGAAGAAAGTAAGTAAAAAGTTGTTAGACTATCGTAATAAAGATATTTTTTTTTTATCTAGAGTGGAGCGAAAGTGATAAACCTTTAAGGAATGAATTTTATAGGTGGTAGAGCACTCTGATAAGCTATTTATAACTCCAAGATGACTTGCGACATCTTCATCACTTGATGGTGATTATATTTGAAATAACTGTAATCATGAATCATAATTTTTATTAAATTTTTTTTATTATAAAAATAAAAGTTAATTTTCTTCTTAGATGCTTTCAGTGATATTAAACATATCGTTCGAATAAATACTCAGAATCCTGGTGAATGTAAGGCATAAAAAAATTTTTTCGTTAAATAATAGTAAAAATTTGTTCTAACCATTTTTTTAAAATATGATTTTAGGCGAAACCGAATATGAATTGATTAAGAATACAGGAGTGAACTTTCAACCGATTATTGGTTTTTTTAATTAATTTTATAATTTTTATTTAAATGATTCGCGAATGCTTTGGATGAAATTTTTTTTAGAGTACCGAAAATTTTCTTTTATTTTTCATTAATTTCCAACATTATACTTATTTTTGAAGTCAACCCTAGAAATAATAATGTATTTTATTTCTATACGGATTTAAAATGAAGGATATAATACGAATTTTAGCTTTAGAGCAAGATGTAATTTATCAAATATACTAATAGGATGAACACAAAAAATTATGTCATTCGTAGGAAAAAGTAAGACAAATCTAAAAGGTAAATAGTAAAAACCTTAGATTTTGTTGAAAATAATCTTGTATTGTTCATGACCTTTTTATTTCAAACTTAAAAAACGGTGCGGCTTGATAAAGTGTTGATTCCATCAGAAGAAGTATCAATTCCATTCAATAAAGCTTGATAAAGCTTGTTTCTTAGTGATACACAGCGATAACATGAATTCATAATCTTTTTTATTTTTGAGTAGATGTATTTTTGCCTTGTAGGATTGATATAAAATATTTAAAAAACCACGTAGGTGAGAATCACACGGTTTAATTTATTTAATTCATTCATAAATTCTGTCGGAGGTCGCTTGTATTCTTGAAATATAACAAAGCGTGCTATTTTTCATTCAAAAAAAAAGAAAAGGTAAATTTTAAATTTATTTAATTGACTTTATATTAATTACAAACAAAAAGCAAGATATGAATTATTTAAAATTCTTATATTTACATTAGATTTATTATTAATTGTTGATTTTCTGGTTTCAACCATTTTTTTTTTACTGATATGTTAAAACTTACTGCATTTTCGGGTATCTAAAATTGAATTTTAAGTTTATCACACGTCAATGTAAAGCTGTTATTTGATTTAATAAAGTATATATTTATTTTTATTAAGATTCATAATAAAATTTTCTCAAGTTTAAAAAAAATAATACTTTTGCGATCTAATAAATAAATGAATTCATAAATAAATTCTATTAAAATTTAAAAAAAATTTTACATGGTACTGTATATCATTGGCTAAGCTTTATTAGAATATCATGATTGGCTAAAATAGTTTAATAAAAGATACAGTATAATAATAATAATTTTTTATTTTCAAATTATTATAAAATTAATATTTTCAGTAAATTCTCATCTTTGAATCTGGAATTATTTCTAACGAGAATTTTATCATAATAATTATGTTCAAAAAGTACAATAATAAAAAATTTTCTTTGATAAAATTTTATTATCTAGAAAATGGATCTTGGTTTTTTTTCATATTGATACATTTAAATCCTTTCCTGGAAATAATTCTTATTGATTATACGAAAATTGTATGAAATTTGTAGAAAAAATATGAAGATACAGGTTCTAGGGTTTATTTCATTCCTGGCACTTTTTTCTGTAGAAAGTACGGTTACACAAAACTTTGTGGATTTATAAAAAAAAAAAAAAAAAGCGTATCAAACATAAAGTTAAGAATGACTTGTAAATAGTAAAATAAAAACATATCTATTTTATTTTTCGCAGTCTATTAGGCAAATTTCTTAAATTATAATTTGTTGTATAGAATTAATTAAATTTTTCACCAAATTTATTTATTTATTTTTTTTTTAAAAAAAATAATTTACAATACTCGATCCGTTTTAAATTATGACCTGTTAAAATATTTTTTTTGATCTTTTATAAATTTGGCAAGTTAATGACTGCATCTGACTAAAGTATTTACAGCGGCAAAATTATCCTCATTAATATTAAACGACTAAATATTTGTCTGTCTCAAACTTCTAATAGTTATTGAAATAAATTATAGAATAAATTTTACAATGTTTTTAAAAAACAAATATTTACCAAAACAAGCAAGAAATTATTAATGACAGACATCATGAATTAATTCAACAATTACAGGTCATAAATATATCATATTACCAACTTTTCTTAATTCCTTAATAGAACTCCAATGACAATATTACTTATAGCTTTGCGAATATACAGATCTATCAGATTTGTTGATTTCTTTTTCTTATTTTTAGATACCTTTTAATTATTATTTAAGTTTTACTTGAAGGTATAATAATGTAAAAATAACAAATTTAAAATTTTTTATAATCAAAATAAGATTTATTTACTAAATTAATTATTACTTTCTGAAAATTATTTTTACAATTCCTAGATTTATAATTTCGTTTTATTAATCAGTATTAATACCTAGATTATCTTTTAAACAAAAATTTGGTGTTTGCAAATTTCAAAAATACTAATATTATTAATTTGGAAACTTTTTATTTTGAAAAGCTTGCATTTAAAAATCTAAAGCTACAATTTATTTTAACGGATAATAAAATGTTTAATTCCTTGTAAAATTTTAAAACAATCAACTTAATTTAAAAATATTCTTATATTGGGCATAATTTAAACTTATCAGGAACGATTGTTAACACTTTAAGAAAAAACGAAAATAAGTTTTTATCATTTTGTTCTAATTGCATATTATTAAATTACTTTGATATTTCCTAAAATATTAGTTAGCAAATAACTTTTAAGCCAATTAGGTATCATTATTTAATATAAACAACGTTTAATTTTACTCATTTCACGCAGAAACGAAACATTTTCATAGAACATTAAATACTATTATCTTCGACACGTTAGATTATGCTAATATTTTTGAAGTATAAAATGACCAACATATATTTTATGTGAAATATTTTTTATCACTTTATGTAGCGAGCTTTACGAAGTTTAATTCTATAAACTTAAATACTCTTTAATTTCAATTTCTTTTAATTCACGGTACTTCTTTAATTTCAGAAGCCAATATAATTCGTTATGCAAAACATTTCATGATTTCTGTTGAAAATTATATGTAAAAATAATATATAATTTTATAGAAAATAATCATATGGAACGTGAGCTAAAAGCAACGCTTTCATCCTTGTAGCCGGATTTACTTGCCGGTCATCTTTTCTTATAGGGCGTGACATATAATACAATTGGCATTTTTCTCGCAAAAAGAATTCTATCTTTATAAAAACAAAAGAATATTTTTAGTATTTTTATGTTATATTTCGTTAAGAACGTATGAAAAGATGTGGCCAAAGAACAAAAAAA